CAGAGGGATCGTGACGCCCCGCTTTTTTTTAGATAAATGAAACAGTAGGGAAGGGCTACTGAAGGAAATAACAAGTCCCGCTTTGTAGATGCAGGACCAGGGGCCTCATGTATAATGACATGCGTAGAATTCACACTAAAACATGGCGTACGGACAAAACTAGGAATGTGCATACGCAAGAAAAATTGCAGATGCACAAAACTGTGTGTAAGCACAGATCTACACACATTCCCTTTATAAATCCCAATGAGCGTGAAATTTATGTACGTGAACGAGTCCACAGCCACTCCCCGACCCGCCCACAATTATGTATATTTGCATATGGAAATCTGTATAAATAACCGCTTTGTTCTATGTTTTTCTTAAACAACAATGAATAAACCACGTGGGAAAAAGAAGTATTTCAGCAAGTGCGAAGTGGAGGTCATGTTAACAGAAATCGAGAAAAGAAAAGTGATATTATTTGGTGGTTTATGTAGTGGCATCAGCAATAAACGAAAGTTGACGGAGTGGCACAGCGTGGCGGAGTCAGTTAAAAGTGTTGGTTCCGAAATTCGCACAGTGGCCGAAATTAAAAAGAAGTGGTCGGACATTAAAGTCGACGTGAAGAAATAAGCCGCTCACCATAAGAGTCTTAACAGCATAGGCGGAGGTCTCGGGATTCCCGGTCTCACACTTTTATTGGGAGAGTGGGACACCGTGGTGTCAGCGCGGGTGAGTTTTTCTCGTACCATACTTGTTTGAATAACTTGCATGTTTATGAATAACAAGTAGGGTGCAGATGCGGTGTTACTTTTGTTTATTCTGTTTATTTATTCTTACAGGCAATAATACAAGAGGTGCCCCCAGTGCCGAGGACGACACAGGCAGTGATGGTGCTGCTGTGCCGAGCACATCTCTGGGCGCTGGCTGCACACAGTCCCGTGCCTCAGAAACTGGGGGGCGACCATCCGGCCATGTGCTGACTGAAGCTGTGCTGCAGTCACAAAAAGAAATCGTCAATGCTGTTGCCAATTAATTAAAACATTTAAATGATAAGCTGTGTGATACTGAAGTTGTAACGCTGTTCAATTTGGCGGAAAATTTGGTGGCTTGGGGTCAGGTTCATCTTGCCTAAGCTCTTCAGATACCGGCAAGCCACGATTTTGTGCCAGATTATGCAACACGCTACATGCATGTACAACACGACACACTTTCTACGGGCTGTATAGCGGCACCCCAGCGTTCTTGTCCAGGCAGTGCCAGCAGCCTTTAAGCTACCAGACCGAGAATGGGTGTCATTATAACGCCGCTCCTGTTCATTCTGTGGGTTTGCGAGCGGCGTGAGAAGCCACGACTTCAGTGGGTACCCACTGTCCCCTAAGGAGTTGTCAAATGGTGAAATCAGACAAAGCTTACACTATTGGGCCAAATTATAAAATGGGAAAAATCTTCTTACCAAGCAGCCAGCCATCACATACCACGCCATTTTCTAGTTTGTTTCCAACACTACTGTTTCTGAGAATGAACGAATCATGGGTTGAGCCAGGCCATCTAGCCACAACATTAATGCAGGGGAGTCAAAAGCATTTTGAATGTGGGGGGGACACACTGGCATAAAACTAATATTTTATGTTAAATGTGGGGAGATTCAAAACGAATAATTATGAAATGTAAGGGAGACACATCCCCCTCAGATTTAATGGCGGCGACGCCCATGCATTAATGATACGCATGTTCAAATCGCACATAATTTGTACCTTAATAGAGTGAAAGTTATTTCTTTAATGTTTGCCTGTTCAACCACAGTGTAAGGAAATTTTATACATCTGTGTGACAAGCGGATTATGCCGTCCCATAAAGCTGGCATGGTGCGACTTGGTGTTCACTGAGAAATACCCGATCGGTCCGCAAGTTCTCCCTGAAAAGCACCTGGGGCTAAGAACCCGAGAGTGGACAGAACTTGTAAAGGAACAGGTATGGCGCAAATCCTCATCGTCTGCCGTTGTAATGCTGGCCCCAGTTCAGCACACAGCTCCAAATGGATTGCTCTTGGAAATCTGAATCGACTTAGAAGCCAGTCATCATCATGGGCCAAGAAATCACTATGATCCCTGAATACGGGCTCTCTTATAATTCTTCCATAAGCTATGTCTTCCAATAACACAAGAGCTGCCATAGTAGTAGTAATAGTTCGGTCATTTTCTGCACCGTTTTATTGCTACAAACTGATTAAAAATCAGGTGCCATACATTTGTAAACAACATACAATTAATGTCGGTGTATTGGATAAAGTCAGCGTCATGATTTAAAAAGTGAAACCACAGTAGCAATGACTTGCCACTGGGTGTCATCCATTTACAAAACCGAGCAGAAACGTGCGTACGCTCTGTCCGGAGCTGTCGTGAGAATGTGTGTAGCGGTACACCAAGTTTCATTTTTATACATCTCGACGTGAGCGTGAAAACAGACGTACGCAACATTTTCGTGCATGCGCAACGTTTATACATGAGGCCCCAGGTGTTCAACTATATTAAAGAGAACATGCAGACAGCCAGGGACAAAATTGGGCAAAGAAAGGACAAGAGTTCTGGTGCCAAGCCGTATCAATTCAAAATTGAAGATTTGGTACTCCGAAGGAATGTTAGGAGTCAACAGAGAAAAGGGGGGAAACTGGAGAAAGACCTTTTAGGGCCATTTAAGATTCTTGCAATAGAGGGGGAAAATGCAGACTTATTAGGGGAAGATGGAACAAAATTCCTGAAAATAAATGTGGATCATCTTGTTCCCTATGTGGAAGATGTTCCACGGATTCCTCACAAACTGTGAAAATCCTTCTCTATTGCCAAACAAAGTGATGGAGTTCTTTCACCATCTCCAGTCCCTCAGATCCCTCCCACTCCTACAAAGATAGCATCACGCCCACCTTCACCATCTCCAGTCCCTCAGATCCCTCCCACTCCTACAAAGACAGCATCACGCCCACCTTCACCATCTCCAGTCCCTCAGATCCCTTCCACTCTCACAAAAACAGCATCATGCCTACCTTCACCATCTCCAGTCCCTCAGATAAGTTTAGCATTTGCTGATAGTTATTATTTTTAGAAATTGACAGGTGTTGACAAAGGTTGGTCTGGAAGAGTGTGGGACAAAAAAAGTCAACTTCTTAGTAAAATTGGCCCTTATAAAATTTTCAACAGGAACATTGGACATCTTGCCCCTGGCAGCCAACTAGAAATAGAGGCCAGTTGTGTACTTATACTTTAGAAAATTGTGACATAAAATTCTGTTTAGAAAAGTTGTGTCATAAATATATATACTGTCCCTTTCACAGGTTATAAATGAATATATCTTTGCAATGGTCAGAAAACACAACCAAATCAGCAAGGACAAAGCTTTTATAACTGATTTGTTTGCTATGACCAAGGTGTGGCAGGGGTTATACAACATTCTCAGAAAGGTACCATTTCTTCTCTTGATTATATAACTATAAATTTGATTTATTTATTCTATTTATTATATCTACAAATACAATATTATATTTTAAAGAAGTGTGTAGTGCAGGGGCATCAGAAGCCTTTTGAATGTGGGGGGGGACACATTGGCAGGGTGAACTAATATTTTATGTTAAATGTGGGGGGGTCCAAACGAATAATTATGAAATGTGAGGGGGACGTGTCCCCCTCAGAATTAATGGTGGCAACACCCATGGTGTAGTGGATGTCTTAGTAATGTCAATGTCTTTTTTTGTCAGTGGAACCCCAAAGAGTACCAAATGGTGCTTGGAGTGATCGGTAAGCACGGACACTGGACTCTTGCTGTAAGTGGACAAACATATAAATTTTTTTGTATATACATTTGGCCTACCTTTAATATTACATTTATGTTTTATTATTCGTTTTAGGCAATGTATCCAACACAAAAAAAAAAACACTTGGAGAATCAAAGGCAAAGGTCGCTCGATGCCTTGATACAACAAGGTCAGAAATAATATGTCAGATTCTGTGACTATCAAAGCAAAAACGTAGAGACCTGCGCGGGACGGATTTTTCAGTCCTGCTCCTGCCCACTCCCGCAAGATTCTGTCCCGCTCCCGCCTGCTCCCGCAAAAAATATATATTATTTTCTCCCGCTCCCGCCAGCAGTATTCAAGCTTTGTCCCGCAAAATCCCGCAGGTAAACATATTAGTAGTTTTATTTTTACTGCTTCTTCCCGCTACTCTGTTATTTGTTTCACTTACTTCCCTTTTGAGTATATACAGTATAAAAAAGAAAATAAACAAATATGTTTTGTTTTATTTGAGTTTAATTAAATGGAATGATGAACATGGACACGAGCGAGGAGCTTTTCAGAACATGCCATCCCGTCCAAGCACCAGGCTGATTTCTTCTTGGGGTGTCCGGTTACGTCCCCCGGCACTCAGAGCGCGGAAATTGTAGTTTCTGCAGACGAATCGCCTGTAAATTGTTATTATTTTAATTTAGTGGTTCTTGTTGCTTTTGTGCAGTAGATAAATAATAGAGTATTTGTTTTTAATAAATTAATTTTAAGATAATTCCATTTTGCGGGAGTCCCACGATTAATTCTACTCTCCCGCAACCCGCACATACACTGTCAGAAAAAAAGGTACCGCAGGGGTACAATTTTGTTCTTAGGAGAACAAAAAATATAATGGTACCTTTAAAGGTCCACAATTGGTCCTTAGGGTACAATTATGTTCCCAAAACGAGTTATAAAGGTACAACTTTTCAGATTCAGATGTGAAAGGTACATTTTTGTTATTTTTATTCATATATTTATTTTAAGTTTAGCCCTAATTAGAGTAGATCTAACTATGTGTTTTTATTTTTTGTTTATTAATTTAATTTGTGTCAACTCATGATAAAATCAAGACACACATTAAAAGATATCAAGACACACATTTAAATATATAATTAACAAACATAATGCTAATGGAATTATTTAATAAAATATTTTGAACAACTGTTGATGTTGTTTTGTTGTAATATTATAGTCAGAAAATCTTTTTTATTAAATGTATTTTTATTATTTTACAACTTTTAAATTTTGACCTTTGCGTTATTTTTTAAGATGCTGAATGAAATTTGGAATAAGGACAATGCGGAATGGCTCAAGTAATTAGATTCAAAACTTGCTTAGGTAGACGTAAATGTTGTTGCCCCTTTAAGAAACTTTCCCGCGCTTGGCTGGAGCTGTGGGTGTTCGGACAGAACCTCGCACGGATTTCAACGCGAAGTCTGTTTTGGAGTTAATATTTCGGCAAATGCCGAATAATATAATAATATAAGCTTATTTTTACACGTGTGTCGCCATGTTCGGTTGATTTTTGTTGAACTTGGTGTTTCCTCTGCTCTAAGCCCGTTAAAAGTGCTTGCGTCAGACTGGCTGGTGTACGTTGGCCTACAGGATGGAGCTGACAATGATGTCTACCGCTCACTTAATAAAGGAGTTAATACAATTTGGTATCGAAGTCACTGAAGAGGAGAGGAAAAAATTTGAAGGTGAGTATGCTGTTATGTTTTTTTTTAAAGTCTGGACCGTTTTCTTGAGGATTTTCCCGGTGTAACGTTAACGCACTTTAACTTTATATACTTTCCCTTTATCTCTTTAACTGCCTCTCATACCTTGTTGCTTAAATAATAATAACTTTGACCACCACGTAATATATTTGCAATATTAACACTTGTACGGCAATTAGTGATTAACATTTTACATTCTGAGGCAGTTTTTCCCGCCCATTTTGTAATAAGGCGCACTTAGAGTTGACCAACGCACTCGGTATACATAGCAATTTGTGGTGAGACGGCAAAGCAAGTGATTAATTAAGTAAAATGACGGCAGCCACGCTAATATTTATTTGTTACAAACATGAGAGTAGATGTTTGTATGCGGGGGGAGTAGTCTCCCTCACTTTTAATCTCACGTTTTTTTCCGGTAACGTTAGGTGTGTTCATTTTCATGGGCCAGTGTGAATAAATCTAGATTTAAATGCAAAGAGACAAAATCGTCAGGTCAAGCATAGACTTTTTATTCGTATCCAAAATGAGGGAATGTGTACATTATGGATTGAGCGCTGAACACTCTCATGCAGTGTTTTTTTATTCATAATCAAAGCCGGAGGGCGTTCTCCAACGGACCCAGAAGTAATAACTTGTGACCTGCCAGGAAATCCCTAATATGGACAAAGGCGTCTAGCTATAGCTGTAGCTAAACTGAATAAAAAACAGAAACATTTTGGACTGATAAAACAAATAGGCTAATGTTACTTGACAATAAATACACATTTGCAACCATATATGTTTTTTCCATCTCCAGGTAATAAAGTATAAGAATACTGCAATGCTTAATACTTAATATAAAATTTATTACAGTTTAAAAATAATTCAAGATAAAATATATATTTGCCTTATTCTGTGATTAAAGAAAATCCAACAGTGTATTTGATTTTTTTATCCAGTTAATAGAAAAAGCTTCAAAACTGGTTTAGTACATGCTTCAGTTTGATGGGTAATTAAATGATACTTTTCTTCTTTTTTACGTTATTAGACAATGACGTGGATGGAGAGACTGTTGACATTGGACTGACTGAGTCAATGATTTCATTCCTCTTTGAGGGATCATTTAAAAAACAAGCAAAATTTCATCGATTTATTCAGCAGATGAAGGAGACAGTGACATTAACTCTTGAACCTGTGCCTGTAGAATCCCAGTCATCAGCTGGAGCAAGGTAATTGCTGTTTAATAATATTTCATTTGTTTCAGTGAACTAATCTAATAACAAATCTTCAAAGTAGCTAGGTAGCTATTTCCCATGCTTCTCTACATATTGCTTTACTGTACTTCTACTAGTGCTTAGTTCATCAATTTCTTGTATCTGTAATATAATGTATTAGAGGTGCTCTAAAATTTCAGCCATTTTCTTCGTCAAAAATATCAACAAAAAATACTACTTGAGCAGATAAGATAACAGAACCTTTGACATGGACAATAAAACAGAGTGCACAGTCAGTGCAGCCAGTCTGCCCAGAATTTTTGGTGCATCACTATTATTTATGTTTACTGTATAATTATTTATTAGGTTACCACAGTGTATAAATTGACAACTAAGGTGATCAAGTAAAGGGTAGAGCACATATTTTAAATAAAACTTGTTTGGTAAAATTCTGAAGTTAGTGTTATTGTTTGTTAACGCAATAATTTGTATTTTCAGGACTGAAAATGCTACTTTACAGTATTTGTGCTATGTTATGTATACCTGCATCATTGCAGTGTCTAATTATTATTTTCTATTTTTGCCATAGTAATATCAGCCTGTCAACAGCTTTTCCTGCAGTTTTTGAAGTTCCGAAGTTTCCATTTGACGTTCAGGCCAAGTTGGACCAAAAAGAATGCCGACTAACGTCATCAGACCGAAACAAAATTATTAGAACATTGTATGAAAGCATGGCTCAGTACAAAATGTAAGTATTTCTCATTACCTATACCAAGGTTTTAATCTCTTACATTCAGTTTTATACAACATTTAATGCTACACTAATGTGTTTAAAATATTTTTGTAGGTATCCAACTAATGAAGAGTATGTTCAAGTGGCTAAAGCCCTGACTCTGAGGTATCCCTTTTTGAAAGACAAAGAGGGCAATGGATATGTAAGTAGCTGGTTTACCTTTAATGTTTTACTCTTGGTTCTTGGTTCATGCAGATTACTATTATTATTATTTATTGTTTTTTTGTTTTTTAATAGCACACTTGGCACATGTCTCTGAAACGCAAGTTTAAATTTGAGCGGACACCTTTGGCTGACATTGAAGAAGTAAAAAGACTTAAACAGAAGTTTGGTCATTCAAAAAAGTCTCTGCAACCTGAAGAAAGTAGTTCAAATAAACAAATTACAAGGCCTTTGGTGAGAACATATGTTTATAATATTTTTACACTTTTTACCAGTGTATTGCTCTTACATTAAGTGACGAGATGCAACATTTTCATTATTCTCTTGCCTAGAAATGCATCAGGGATGCATCAAAATAAAAATTCTTGGCCAAAATCGAAACTTCTAGATGCACAGAAATTTCCTGCAGTGAAATTAAATTCTACCTGATTTGTTTTTGTCTATGCACAAGGAGATTACTGCTTTTGGAGAGGATGCTACATCAGTAGAGGGACATGTGAAAGTCCTGCAGGACCAGTATAGAAGGACACAGCCAGATACTCGCATTGTTGAAGAGCGAATGAGGAGGCCTCTCCTGGAGCCGACTCCTTATCGTGGTGGAGGGGTTTGCGTGTTCCAATGATCCCAGGAG